GCCTGCGTGAAATGCTTTTTTTAGATTTTCAGTGTATAAAATGTTTCAGCTGTCTCCTGTCACTTCCCCACATTTTCCTTTTGTCACCATAATGCTGCCATGAAAAACAAAAGTGCACAAAAGCGTGAGAATCTGTACAATTTACTCACTCAATTAGCGTGATCAAACTATTTGTCTCTTTACAAAAATTCCATTTGGATCCCCCAAGTTTAACTTAATGCCATTGGTTTAACATCTGTTTGGGGCACACCAAAACACCTCCGTCTATTCTAAAAGGGAATGCTTCAGTCATGCCCAGAGACCCACACCTGTCCTAGTTCAGTCCCCACAAAGATAAATTTTCTTAATGAAGGTTTTTCCTTAGGAAACTTCGGGGTATGTTAGTGCTCGGCCACGTTCATGAACCCATCTCAAGTGCCTGACCTGTCAACCACTCTGTTTCTTTATATTGATTGTAATTTTAGTTTTCTGATTTTTAGTATGCCTGGGTGTTACATCTTTCCTCCTCCTTTTTTTTTTTTTTTGAGATGGAGCCTTGCTCTATCACCCAGGCTAGAGTGCAGTGGCATGATCTTGCTCACTGCAACCTCCGTCTCCCTGGTTCAAGCAGTTCTCCTGCCTCAGCCTCCTGAGTAGGTGGGACTACAGGTGCCTGCCACCACGCCTGGCTAATTTTTGTATTTTAGTAGAGATGGGGTTTCACAGTGTTGGCCAGGATGGTCTTGAACTCCTGACCTCAGGTGATCCACCCAGCTCGGCCTCCCAAAGTGCTGGGATTACAGGCATGAGCCACCGCGCCCGGCCCCTCCTTTCTTTTTTTTCCTTAAAGTCATCTGCTTGTAAGTTGTAAATAAGCTCTGAAAATACTAACCAGAAAGAATGTAACACCAATTTGGCCATAGGGTGGCTTCATGTTGTTACAGTTTCAATTTGGGAAGGCGGTAAGGCTTTCTGTCATACTGCTTTTGAAGCTTACAAGGTGAGAAAAGACAAAGACAGCCAAATAAAGAAATCAGTCATTTTAGGTAACAGAAGAAAAATTCTTGAGAATTGTTTTTGGTGAAATTATGGTCACTCTATTTTATTTATTTATTTATTTATTTATTTATTTATTTATTTATTTAGAGATGGAGTCTTGCCCTGTCACTCCGGCTTGAGTACAGTGGCGCGATCTTGGCTCACTGCAAGCTCCCCCTCCCGGGTTCAAGCCATTCTCCTGCCTCAGCCTCCCGAGTAGCTGGGACTACAGGCGCCGCCACCTCGCCCGGCTAGTTTTTTTGTATTTTTAGTAGATACGGAGTTTCACTGTGTTAGCCAGGATGGTCTCCATCTCCTGACCTCATGATCCGCCCGCCTCGGCCTTCCAAAGTGCTGGGATTATAGGTGTGAGCCACTGCGCCCGGCCTATAGTCACTCTATTAATCAGTTTTTTCTAAAAGTTATCTCCTGCGTGTACAATCTATGTGTCTTTAAGATAGGCAAAATTATACCCAGCTACGTGCCACAGCATGGATGAGCTTGAGGACACTATACTAAAAATTAGCTGGGCATGGAGGCACACACCTGTAGTCCCAGCTACTTGGAAGGCTGAGACAGGAGAATCGCTTGAATTTGGGAGGCGGAGGTTGCAGTGAGCCGAGATCGCACCACTGCATTGCACTCCAGCCTGGCGACAGAGAGAGACTCAGTCTCAAAAAACCTGGCAACCTGGCAACCTGGCGACAGAGGGAGACTCCGTCTCAAAAAACCTGGCAACCTGGCGACAGAGGGAGACTCTGTCTCAAAAACAAAAACAAAACAAAACAAAAAAGGCTACAATGGTTATTTTTATATTATGTGTATTAAAAAGTCCCCCCCCAACCCCCACCAAAATTGTGGCTGACGTGTCTCCATCAACAAAATGTCTTTATTCCTTAATTATGACAACTCATTCAGATGCTGACCACTTCTTTTCTTTTGGTTCTGTTTCTTACACCAGCGAACCCCCTGAATGCCAAGTCGGCTTTCCTTCGAACTGTATCATGTATGCGTCAAATGAGATCTCACGCAAAGGTCTTCCCTACTCAGTTTCATTACAAGTGTACCTAGCCTGCCCACAGTGAAGGAGGTATTGCTGGTTCCCTTATTTCATTTTCAGTTCCGTTAGCAAAGTTTGCATAAACATGCACATGTAATCAGTTATGCATGGTGAGCCATAATGAGCTTTGGGGGCAGAGAAAGTCAGTGGTTTTGCTGTTGTAAGAAAGTGTGGTGGTAACAGGTCACAACCTGTCTGCTAAGTAATTAACATACGGTAGGATTATAAGAAAAGGTAATAAGAAAAACAAGTCCCTCTCTTCCATAACATGGGCAATCTTTCAAAAGAGGAATCTTGATTGAATTTGTCTTTCCTTAAATGAATTCTGGTCTGTGGCCTAGTTCCTTTTATTCTTCAAACCGTTCTCAACCACATCTGTGGAATTCTGTATCAGCAATTGTGAAGCCAGCTGTTGCTGAGAGTCTTTTACTTAAGTTGAAATTAAGAACAGATTTGAGGGTCGTCTACCTGCTGTGAAGTCCTGATGGAGTTACCAAAAACTGCAAATGGTGAGAAAATGTGACTGCCTTGCTTGAACTGCTAGTACATTTTCTACAATGCTTTCGCCGCCATTGCAAAAATACCCTAACTCTGTGATCCAAGATTTGTATTTGTTCATGTCGTCTTTATCATTATTCAGAATATATGCACAAAAATCAGTAAGAGGAAAATCTATGTTGCAATAACAATAGTGTGTGGCTCAGCAAGGGTTTTTTTTTTTTTTTTTTTTTTCTGTGTGGAAAACAAGGACAGATTGTTAACAATGCTGGTTCCGTGGGAAAGTTCTTAAGATTTCTGCTACTGGGAAAATGAGTAAGGCGTTCTCTGTCCCACACACGGGTGCATTTTGCATCCAATCTTGAGGCAATTTGTGGATTATTCAGCAAACTAAAAATTCAGGCATAGAACCTGTTGAAGGCATCCTTACACCTGAATACAGAAGAGGGAGGAACAAATTTTTCACAAAAGTGTTTCAAGCAACGTGCAAGTCTCAACCATGATTAAACCTAAGTCACCGTCAGTTTGACCTCAAATTATCCTGTAAATAAAAGACCCCACAAGAGAAAGCTCGGTAAGAAGCTATCTTAGGGTAAACACGGAAGACTCTGGGTGTAGATCACATTAGAAGTGATTTCTTTTGTGTGCGTGTGTGTGTTTTTAAAAAATGTGTACAAGAACTGAGATAGTTTCCTAAATTAAGATTTAAAATATTCTGTTAACTTTAGATTCAAGCAGTCTGAAACCACTTCATAGAAGACTCTATTTAAAATATAATCATAATTTTGCCACACCATCCACGAAGGGGATTATCCTATGTTAAATTCTGTATCGATACACCCGTGCGGAAGGGCTGTTTCTTCCCTCCTCCGTGTTCAAATGCAGTGTATTCTCTGAATTTTTTAGTTCCATGAAAAGGAAAGATTTTAGGAAAAAAAAAAAAACCCAACACATAAGGATTAGTGTAATATTTTTGAAAGCATCAGTGATTAAATAAATAGCCAATTTCCATTCGTACACAAAATAGTTACCCATTCCAAACAATACAAAGGGAGTGAACAGCTGTACTCCTAAAACAGTCTTTACCTAGGAATACTTCTTGATAATTTAAATCAAATTTATCCCTAATCCACTCTGAAATCTCTAAATTTTAGTTCAGAAAACAAAAGATTACTCCTTCACTTAGTTGCATAATATAATTCTTCTTTCTCAGATATAATTTAGACAATCCTAATAAATTTACACAAAGATAGGATTAATATTATTTACTAATGAGTAGCACACCCAACTGTCTAATCAGAGCACTTAAATTTTTGAGCATGAATATTTAATACATATTTTTTAGTTTGTCTTAGATTTTATGCTATAGTATAGGCAGTTTCACTTCCAGCTACGCACTCAAGGCCTTGTTTTTTTTTTTTTTTTTTTTTTTTTTTTTTTTTTTTTTTTTTTTTTTGTTTTTTTTTTTTTTTTTTTTTTTTGCGGTGGGCGGAGTTCTTTTTGGTTTTTACTCTGAGCTATTTTTTATAATGGAAGTCCTCAAGAACCTTTCTAATCTAAATGTCCTCAATCACTCCATAACCATTGAACACCATTTCATCACACGTTGAAAGAAGTGGAATCCCAAAGGCTGAACAAATAATTCATTAGACAATAGCAAGGGAAAATGCTTTTTTCCCCCATTTATTTCATTAACCAAAATTATTGTCTGTTATAAAATTACAGAGGGTGGGAGGGGGAAATGAAGAGGTTGGTGAATGGGTATAAACATACAGTTAGATAGAATGAGTAGTTCTAATATTTGGTAGCAGACTAGAGGGACTACAATTAATAACAATGGATTGTGTATTTCAAAATAGATAGAAGACAGAACTTGAAATGTTCCCAACGCATAGAAACAATAAATACCCCAGGTGATGAGTACCCTAGGCACCCCAACTTAATCATTAGACATTCTACGCTTGTAACAAATACATGTGCTCCATACATGTGTAAAATATCACATATCACTAAAAGAAAACAAGTAGCCAAAATCAACCATTAATATTCAACCGTTAATACTGCTGACTTTGCTCCATCCAAATAGTATAATTTACTTAATTTCAAAAGAGGAGAAGCTCTCCTGGGCCATTCCAAGGGCAGTGTCCTTACTGCCTAACGGTTACTTTAAGAGTTTGAAGCCATTAAGACTGTTGAAATGTTGGCAACGCTAAATATGGTTACAGGAATAGTATGGAAACTTGTATTAACATTTGATTTTTACACCTTTTTTGTGTGTGTGTGGAGTGAGCTAGGAATAGTGCATTGACAAATGAACAACCACCAGTGACTTGTGTACAATCAATGTGAACACGTTTCAGTTGTAACAAAATGATGCTGGCTCTCCAGCTGCCATTTTCTAGGTCTGCCACACCAGACACCAGGACTTAACTCTTGCTCATCCATCAAAGTACGCTCTCAGATTTCACATGCGTTGTAGATAAATGTGTAAGAAAGGAAATCGTTTAAAAGCACAATATTATTGTAGACAATGCCCTGAGTGAAATCACACGTGGGTGACTTAAGACAGGGCCCTAAACCGGCTACAAAAAGGAAGCAAGTCATGAACATTTTACAGTTTTATGTGGAGGGGTTTGGAAGTCTTGATCACCATTCAATGATCTACCTTGTCCCTTTTCAACACATGGAAATTATTAGTGCAAGATTGTACTTTTAAATAGACCCAAGAATGCAAATGTAGGTCTATAGCACTGACTTATATTCATTCCAAAATCCTACCAAAAAGCTATTAAAGTGTCAAGTCTTCAATTTTTAATCTTTGTTACTACCTACATGTATGTAATAATATGTGTATACAAGCCATTTATAGCTTTGTCATTAATTGAATTTGGGGATACTTTCTTTGTGCATTTTCACAGTGTACTGAAATGAATGGTGGGCACGTCAATACTTTTCGGTGAATCAGACTTAAATGTGACTGTTGAAGAATACATCCCACTTAGGCATTCATGCTGAAACCAGCAACAATTGTCCGTGACCTTTAACACGCCCGCTCTCCAAATCAGTGCAGCTCGTCAGTCACACGGAGCTTACATTTTAGGACTCGCGGATCCTTCATCGCAGAGGTTCTCCCTGTCTGCCCCCCAAACCGGTCTCCCTGACCGCCCCCCAAAACATCACACATGCAGAATGGCCCCGCGGCTGAGCTCCAGCATTCCCTCCCTTTGCAGCGCGTCTGGAGTAGTTTCTTTTGTAAACGCCCTAAGTTGGGGAGGGCCGCGGGCTGCGAGTGTGAGGCGCAAAGGGAGACGCCGCCGCGGAGGTAACCGCCAGGATTGCAGCGCTGACTGCTGCGCGGAGCCACGTTGGGCGTCTTGGACGGAATCCACCTCCACTGCGGAGTTATCACGAGGAGAAGGAGAACAATATGGCCAGGAGCCTGGTGGGAGAAGCTAGTGTTACCCCTCCGCAGGCCGCAGCTCCCCGGGTCTACGTCACCGGCGGTGAAGGGGCGCTCGCCCTCGCTCGCTCCGACCCGCCCCTCCCCTCCCCCGCCCCCGCGCGCCCTCCCTCCCCTCCCCCACCCCAGCCCTCCCTGGCCTGTACCAGGAGAGCATTTCGGAGTCAAATTGGGATTTCCAGTCCCAGACTCAACTTACTACAACTAACTACTGCCCGTGGGGAGTAGGTGAGGTGAAGAAATGAAGTTTTAAGAACAGAAAAATAAGAGTTGAACTTTGAAGGCTACCAGTAAACAACCCCTTCATTTTTAAATGGCCATGTGGCAGAGCCGCTGTTTGAAGTCTTTCCAGCGGGACCTCTGTGACCCTTGATTCAGGACTTAATGTATTGATCCTGCGTCTGAACACCCCCAGAGGCATTCACCAGGAAGTTGAGTGATACGCACACGCTACGCCGTGTGTAATGCACACGCAGCTGGGACCCCCGAAGGGGTGTCCCCATTTCAGTCCAGCTGGGGCGCAGTGCCCAGGTGCCCGCCGGCGGGACCCGCATCCCGAGCACGTCTGTACGTATGGATGCGCGTGTGCGCGCGGAAACGGCCTCCGGGAGCCGGGGCTGCCGCAGCCTTAGACCTTGACGAGGGGCGACCACTGGCCGCTGGAATCGTGATTCAGTGCTATTAGGGGAGGAATTGGCTGTGTCTGAGTCACTGCAAGCCTCCAGACTGTCCCCGCAGTGTGGCAGAACTTTGTGCTGATGAGACAATAGTGGAGTGTGCGTTTCCTACAGGGCAGACCATTCCCGGGCTGGGGGAAGCCTCCGGCCTGCGCCGGGCGCGTGGTGGGCCCCGCGCGCCCTCGCGCGTCCCCCGCGCCCGGGCGCAGCTGGCGCGGTCGGTCTAGTGCAGCGCTCGGCTCCGCGCCGCGGGCGCTCGGCTTCACCTTCAGATGCGCGGGGCGTGCGCGTCCTCCTCCCCAGGCCCGCCGCCTCCCCGCCAAGGTAGGGGCCGCGGGAGGGGGGAGGGCTGCGCCGCAGGGGCCGCGGGCGGGCGGTGGGCGCGGGGCCCGGAGCCCCGACGTGCCCCGGACTCCGGTGTGCGCCGCTGGGGGTGGTGGGGAGGCGCCGGGGAGGGGGGTGCGCCGGGGAGGGGCCCCCCGGGCGCGGGGAGGGCTACTTGGCTTTCCCTGTGGGTAGTTGCTCTGCTCTGCAATTCCAGGATAGGGGAAGATGCAACTTCGGGCGGCGGGGCGAGCGCCCGGGAGGTGGTTTTTACCGCAGTGGAGGGGCGGGGTGGGGGCCGGGGTGGGAGCGCGGAAGAGGCTCTGGCTTTGTACACTTCGTCAAAGGCGACGCGGGAGGAGGGGAGCTCGGATGCGCTCTCCATCCATTAGGAGACAAAGAGCAAATTGCCTTACTTTAAAGTAAAACGCTCCGGCTAATGAAGGTGGGTGATGGGGCTGCGGGCCCGAGGAGCCGCTTCAATTATTAAGGGTTTGGCGGATGGGATCGATGCCTGTGGGCACCGCGCGCTGCTGCCTAGGGGACGTATTTGCGTGGAGGGGGGGTGGCCTTGTTTTTTACGGCCCCCTCCCCGGCTGCTTGCCAGTCTGCGGGGAGCTTCTAAGTGACCCTAACGTTAAAGAAGTGAGAGGTCCTGGAAGGGAAGTTCGGGCGGGGGGGTGGGGGCGAGGGTCTGGCACCGACTCGGAGAGGGGTGGGCAGGGACTCCTCGGAGTTGCGCCCCGCCGGGTGCGGGTGGGGGAGGCCTCCGTGGCGAGATGAACCCGGGTGTATGAAGGAAGAATGCGGTGGGGTGTGTGTGGTTGGGCGGGAGGTGGGGGGAGGCGCCTCCGCTGCCATTTCCAGGGAGAACTAACAGACTGAATAGTTACGATCAGTATTTAGATTAAACCGCCTCAAGTTTTAAAGAAACTTTGTATGAATAAGTTTGTTAAACTGCAGGCGAGTGGGGTATTTAAGAGCAGCAGTTTATGTGTGCGGTGAGGAAAGCCAGTGGACCCCCGCAATTAGGGACCAGAGAGAACCAGCCTTTTATCCGAAAAATGTGGGTCTGTAAGTCAGCCCCATCTATTATCAGCGTTAATAAGCTTCCCGCAGCAGACCGGGATCAGACAGGGAGCTCTGGGGGCTGTGTGTCTTACTCATTCCGCTGATAAAGAGTCACTGGGTCTCTGGGTGTGCAAAGATCAACTTGCGCAGTCCTCTTTTCAAATATATTCATTCTGTGCTTTATTTAATCCAGATGCACAAAAAGCCATTTGCTGCTTCATTGTTGGTTTACATTTTTTGAAAAGGCGACTGGTGTAACCTGTGGAATTTGAAATGCAAATCAGAGCCTGTGGGAGTAGAGGCAGAACAGATCAGCATTTATAAAGTGGAAAAGATTTAATGTCTTTGAAATCATTGCAGGGGAAGAAACTGGAGGGGGAGTGTGATTTTTCAGGGAGTGAATTGTGACGTCAGGTCTTTTTGGAAAAGATGTTATTTTTAAGGTCTGGAACCCGGGTAGGTAAAGTGCTTACAGGAAAAACAGATTACAAGATTAACATCTGTTAACATGATCGTTTATCTCCAGCCAAAAATAGGTCAGTTCTTTCTTAAGGAAACACGATTGCTGGCGCATGCTTAAATAATAAAATCAAAACGACGAGTTCATAAATTAGGAACGAGCGTTTGTTGCAATCTGACCTGTGAAGAAACATTTTTTAATTTTGAGAGATCAATGGAAGGTCAAAGTCCCTTTTCGGTGTAGAGAACAACTCTTTCCCCTGCGTTGGCCCTCGGCCCCCGCCCCCTCCCCCCCCCCGCGGGATGACCCCTCCTTCTTACTCGGAGCTCCCTTTCCGCCTCCACTCCCTTCGTTAATTTCCCTTTCCATCCTTTGTGGAAGTACAAAATATATTTAAATGGATATCGTCTGACGCCTCCCTCCTTAAAGAAGGCAAACTCCGCGCAGATGGTTAACTTTCAGAGCTCTGCTGTTGTTTTACCATTAAATGAAACGGTAGGGAGGAGAGCAGAGGAAAAAAAAAAAAAAAAAAAAAAAAGGAAACAGCTTTGCGAAGTCTCCCTGCCCCCTGGGCATGAGTGACGGCTCTGCTGGCCAATCCGCAGCGGCTTTCTCCATCCCGGAGGTAATTTGGGGTGTGAGTGTGTGTGAGCGCGCGCGCGTGCATGAGCCCATGTGTCTGCACACTGTGAAGTCTGGCCAGCTCCGCGCATCCGCAGGCTTCTGCATTTACACAGATGTGTGATGTAGACGTGGACACGCTTTTATTCGAGTCAGTTCAGCTACATGGGCACGCAGCAGCCCCCACGGAGCGCCTCCCCTTCCGAACGTTCTGTGAAGCATGGGATTTAGAAGCACTTTCGGATTCAGGTCGGAACCTGCAGAAGGGAAAGAAAAGAGGAGGGCTGTGATTGTTTCTCAGCAACGGGGGACTCGAAACGTGCGGTTTCTTCGGCCTCGTTGCCCCGGGCAGGCGCGCCCTGGTGCGTTTTTGGTCCAGGTGATGGAGCCCACTCTCCCGGGCAAAGCGAACTGAGAACGCGGATTGCTGAAACTGATGTGAACTCCGTACAAAAGTGAAGGGCAGCATGTGTCTTCCAACTTCACATTTTATTTTCTCACTGGGAGTTGATGCTTAGTCCCTGGCAAATTCTAGAAGGTGAAGCGCTCGTGGCTAGTGAAAGTTCGGCTGCCCACCCGCCTCCTGAACGCTGCGCCCTGGCTGCGTCTGCCCTGCACAATGAGCGTATTCACGGGCAGAACGCGTCACCGGCCACCCCACGCTTGCAGCTGACTTACTGTGGCACCGACTTTCCCAGGAATATCGGTAGTGATGTGTGTGGCTCTCGTAGTACGCACCTCGGGAAGCGTACGGACCCGACCTGAGCCGAGCAGCATCTCCGTGTAAATGTTGGAGACGCGGTGTCTTCCGGGAGCATCGCGGGGTTGCTGCGCTTCTGTACCCACCGGGATGGGGATGATGCAATGGAGAGGTTAAGGACCCACGTGCCCACTTCCTCCCTGGAGACCCCTGCAGGGAGACCCCCTGGAAGGGACCTCGTCCACGCGCAGGTGTTCCTGGCCACCAGGCCGCGCCGAGGTCACCCGAGGGTCCGTGGGTGACCTTCGTCCTTCCTTTCTGCAGGAACCTAACTCGGTTACAAGGTAGCATCCGACCCCGCGCCTTCCCTCCCACTCGGGCCATTTCCGCCCCCCAATCCGAGTTCCACCTGATTCTGCCCCTCCCCAATCTCAGGAGCTGGCGGAACCGGGACTGGGCAGCCCTGGGAGGTGTCGTTGGATTAAATCATTCCTATTTCGGTGTGTCTGAGCTGCAGCGGCGCTGGGGCGCTACTGAGGGTCCTGGGGCTCGCGTGGCCGGGGGCCGGGGGCGGGAGCGCGGGGCGGCCGTGTGGGCTGGGGGCGGGTCGGGGCGGGGGGGACTCACCTGCCCGCCCCGGGGTGGGGGCGGTGGCCGCTTGTTGCTGGGCTGCCAGGAGGAGGGCCGTGGGCGGGGCGGGAAGGGGCGGAGAAGCACGGGGAGGGCCTGGCCCGCCGCCCCCGCCCCCCGGCGCCCGCCCCCCGCCCCCGTCATGTGGAGCGGACGTCACACGGCTGCACTGTAACCCAAGAAGTGAAAGAGACGGACCCACAGCCCAACTTCGCACCATAACAAAGGCGGGGGTCTGTGCGGGCCGGGGGGCGGGGGCGAGCGGGGCGGGCGCGGGGAGCCGGCGGGGGCGGGAGCGAGGCCCGGAGAAGGAGAGGGGGCTGCGGGGGGAAGGGCAGGCCGCGGGGTGAGGGGGAGCGAGCGGATGGGGGTGTGGAGGGCCGGGGCCGGGGAGGGGGGCGGGTCCGGTCCGGAACTGGGGTCTGCGCGGGGCTCCGGGCCAGGCGGGGGTCCGCGCGGCGGCGTGGACCGGGCTCCGGGGGCCGAGGCGCGGCGGAGGCCAGGTAATTGGTTTCTATTTTAAACTTCACTTTGTTCTGGCGGAGGTGGGGCGGTGGGAAAGGCGTGGCCCCGAGGACGATTACATAAGTGTTCACACCTGAACCGGTCCTGCGCCCGCGAGCGGATTTGGGGTGGGAGTTGGCGGTGGGCACCCGGGCTCGGGGCGCCTCGCGAGGGGCTGCTGCGTGCGGGTTTTGTGTCCTGCCTGTGTGACCTCACAGTGTCTCGGCGGTAAAGAGGCCGGGGATGGCTCTGTGGACTGTCTGGAAAAGCCCAGATGTGCCCGTGGGCGTTGAGCTGGCCTTCCGGGGTGTCCCCTGCGTAACAAAGGACGGAGCCCTCGGACCCTCCGGTCCACTCGCCGTGTTGACTTAACCAGCAAGTCACAAAAGGAACTTTAGTGGGGATCCGACTTACACATACAGCAGAAAGGCATTGCCCCTGTCAAACCTGCTATGCAGTCTCGAATCTTGATTGAAGGTGATTTAAAAGCTGAGTGATATACGTTCACCATGGGGCTATGGACTAAATACTATTAAAGATAATGACTCCAGTAGATGCAAAGGTGGCTAGCCTCCCAAAAGGAGCTTTTTCAGCTTTTTTTGAAAACCAACCTATTAATATGATTGAAGTATTTTGGTTTAGGGATGTGTTACTTAAAAGAGCTAGGCAGGCATGTTATTTATTAGGATACTGCTTACTACCATGTAAAATAAAAAGAGCTCATTTTGTCATTTGTTCCAGCTTCATTTTCACTTACATTCTTTGATTATGTCGTCAAGTAACTGTTATTTATATTTACACAGGCCAGCCAGAATTAAATATACCGCACACCACTATTGTGCATGGGTCTGAGAACCCCTCGCCCCCTCTTAGTAAAATTGGAGAGTGAAGCTGCGTAGGAGCCTGCCATGGTGTCAGGAGTTTGAGAGATGGGTTACTTATAGGAGGACATCTTTAGTTTCACAGGAGTGACCCCCATGGCCATCTTGAATGGGCTCTGGGATGAATTCAACTCTGTGTAAGACTCACAAGTATTTCGGTAATTGAATTTGAATTTTGGTGTAAGGTACAAGCATGTCTAATGTTTTTCTTAATTCATTAGTATGGCTTTGTTTTCTTACACTTGCTAATTTGAATATAGTGAAACACCAGAGCACATTAACCTTCTAAAAAAATAATAATCCCGGTGGATCTGTAATAAAACTAACCAAGAGGAACGGGAATGCCTCTCTAAAATGAAACACAACACCAAAATAGCAGGTTTAGTGTGTACAGCTTTCAACAATGCACAGAGAGATGGGAGTTCTGCTTATTTTTATTTCTGAAAGCTTTTGTTTATTAGAATAATCTTTCCAAATGGCTTAATATCCTGAAATACACTAGATCAAGAACTTTGAGAAATGTGTCTGCTATGAATTGTTGACATCCTGAGAATAGTTTACCTCACCAATGTTTTCCCATTGTTATTTGTAAACAACCTTCAGAGTCTACTAATTCAGAGATTTTATTTTTCCTGGAACCCTGAAGTCCTACATTTCTAACTTTTTTTTTTGTGTAAGATGTTGTCCCAGAGACCAAAATTGACTGAAGGGAATGAGAGAGGTCTTTGAAAAGAGGTCACAACGTGAAAAGCACTTTGTCTTCGCTTTCATAAATGAAACTTTTAACTCCATTTACCTAACTTCCTCCTGCAAGGAGATATTTGAGTTTTATAAGTGAAGCATTTGATGTGATTAAGTTTAGCAACATATGTGGAAAAGGAAAGGAGACTTCTTTAAAGAATACTTTGAAATGAGGTATGCTCCAACAGATGGTTTTCAGTCTTACCAAATGGGGAAAAATGATAACATGGCCTAGCAATTGACGTAGAGTTTAGTCATGGATTATTCTTGAAAAACTAGTACTATTGTATTGGGTGGTTGTGGATTTTTATTTATTCATTTTCCAGAATACACGTTGGTCTTATTCATAATTTAAGAGAAGGCATCTTTTAAAAAGAATTTGGTGGGAGTGGTTGTAAGTCTGACTGGAGACTGTGTTTAGAGTTTCAGCTGCATTATACCTTAATGCCGTAGAGATAGAGACTGAAATACAAGCTGACTGCATTCTGCAGCAGGGAGCTTGTCCAAACGTGTGCACTTTCCCGTCTAATATGCTTGTTTAAATGTTGAAGACGTGCATTGTTTTGTTTTTTACTCCATTTTCAATTTAGGAGAAAAGGACTTGTGTTAATTACCTAATTAAAAATGATATTTCGCTTATTACTAGATTCTGACTGAAGAAGGCATTGCTGTTAAATGTGCAGGAAACACGATCAACTTTCTCTTTGGTTTTCAGCTGGCCAAATTTAACTGGAGATGTGTAACTTTCTCAGTGATAGACATGGATTTAATTATTAGGAATATAACTGTAATGGAAGAAAGTTAAATTTATTTGATTAGGTATCTGCTTTATAAATGCTTGAACTTGGAAGTAACATTTCTTCTTCAAAAGCAGACATCTTTCATGCTGTGAATGTTTATACATTTTAGTGCTTGGATAAAGCTATTCTGACACAATCAGTTCTTTCAAAAATGCGTTTCTCTGCTGTCCCGACCCCTCCCCCTCAAAAGTTCTAGAAGCTGTGGAAAAGTTCAGTTGCGTATCTTACTGAACGTAGTGCAAGGAATATCTGTGGGTTTGTTCACTGCTCAGGGAGCTGGACGTGTGCCGCTCTGACTTCCTTAGCACTTCCTTACTTCCCTGAATTTGCATTTACTGCCTAACTAGCATCCTGCAAAAAGGCCTTTCCTGGCTGCCTGCGATTTGGCACCTTAGAGCTTCACTTCCAGCACTGTTAATGGCTAAACGTGAAGGACTAATTTTATTACTGTGTTTAGCTCACAGGACCTTGGAAGCGGCCCCTACTCTGTTGTTGGGAACTGCATGTCATTTAGCTTTGCATTTTTCAAGTGAATTGTAGTGTCAGACTGTGCATCCGTTGTGAGGTCTGAGTGGGTGATGGTTGGACTGCATCTCCCTGTGTATGAGAGGCACCGAGGGATGTGGAGGTTCTCAGAGGCAGATGGAGGTGGGGGCTGTGGACAAGCCTCTGTTTGTGCAGCAGTGATTATTTGATTGTTCCACTGTTTGGTTAGGTTCCCTTTGGGCTGGTGGCTAACTGGTGGCATGAGCGGACAGTGTAGCTGTTCCCTTCTTCTCCCTCCCCTCCTGGGGCTCTCATCCTCAGTCCTTCCACCTGACTGGCCGAAAGTGTAGTGGCAGCAGCCTATGATGGGAATGTATCTAGGGGCCATAGAGAAGATAGCGTTTTTCAAATGGAAGCCCTGGCCTGGGTTCTCTCTGGTCCCAGGAACCAGTGATTTTGGGAGTGGGGCAGGACGTTCTCTTTGATAGAGGAATGACCTCTGCCCTCAGTTAAGACCACCCTCCCACCCACCATTGGACAAGAACTATCAAAATCATTTGATTTTCAGAAATTTTGAAAAGTCACAAACCCCTTTTAAGAAAAGAATCATACCAAATACTTACATTTATGAATGATTAATAAAATTAACCTTATGGGAGGAGGAGGAATAAAGAACAACTTTGACTTTAGAATGTCTCCTTCTGTTCTTTAAAAAGTATCTTTATTTTAAAAATAATTTTTTCTAACAAGAATATTTTAGGGGAATGACTTAAATAGCTATAAATAGTATAAAGAAGGGTACATTTATAGGGGCTATAAATGCATTGTTTGTATTTGAAATTTCTAGTATCCACTAAAGTATATGAAGTGTATTTTAGATGGACTGGTAAAAACCAGCAGTTGCAACTGTCTGTTTTGCATTCCTTATGCTCTGCATCTGGCCACACGTGACTTGAACAGCTGAAGCTTCTCTTTCCAAAGCTAGAGCCATCATCGTATTTATGTCTAGCATGAGATGTTTTCCAGTGGTATACATTCGAATTGTAAAGAAGTGTAATTTGTGGCTCTCAACATGCCTTAAAAGTCATTTCCAAAAAAGATCTGGCATTTAATCTTTAATTCAAATGGTACTGAAAATTACAAAGCAGGAGTAATTAGAAATGCAACTATTTTTAGAAAGCAAACATGTAAATATATGTTAAGTAATGACTAAAACACAAGCAGGAGAGTAGGAAAAATTATTTAAAAGACAACCATAGTAGGTTTAGATACATCTTACCATATACTGTATTTTAACTCTTTGTTAATTCTGGTAGATTTACTTTGTATTCCTGTTTCTGTACCTTCCCCCCCAACCTTGGTCAGGAAGTAAATAAAGTCTGTAGAATCTCAGAATTTACTGGGGCAAGAAGAGATATATATCATATATAATTGTGAAATCCAGACAATTCCTCAACTGAGTGGTGAAAATAGGATGAGATTTTTGTGTGTTTTGTTATTTTCAAGGCAGAGGGAATCTGGTGTTTTTTTTCCTTGAAAACCAGGTAGACAACGTC